CACACAGGTAAATACAAGTACTGTATTACTTTTTCAAGTTGTCATTTTTTTATATCTCTATAATCATGGTCATTATATTTGCTATACTTTCATTCTGTATGCCTCAAGTTTCATCTTCTGATAAGTCTTTTCTTTTTAAATTGTAGTCTAACATCCCTACCCCAGAATTCAAGATGGATTTAAGGAAAATCTGTGGCAAACTCAACGAATATTGTAAGTTATTAAAACAAGTTCTTAGTTTAATTAATGTACATGAACAAATGTATTCTCAATCTTCTGAACTCAAAAAAGGAAATGTCATGCTGGTCAGAGAATACTGATACACTAGTTTAAATATTGCTGAATGTAATGAAACAGTAAATTATACGTAAACATATGCTTTTCAATCAGTGCACGGGAAATTTAGATAACTATATTGTTAATCCATTAAATATTACTAAAGAAAACAATATGGAGTTTTGGATTTAGGATTTTGACGATTTTTTTACTTTTTTTTTTTTTAAATTAAATTCGTTATTTTCTCCTGAATCTTTTCTCATTTACTTTGTGTAGTAAATATTTTTTATATTTCGTGTTTCAATATGAACTGTATCAATGTTTTATTTTATCTGTGTAGTGTATGGTGATTACAGAAGAGAAATTGATATTTTCAAGGTAAGACAGTTTTGTATATCAATACTACCTTGCCACTACTATTAAGTACTGGTTGATATAAAGTACGTCTTGAAAGCTAAAATAGGCCCCGTCATGCAACAACTAATCATAAAAAGATAAATGATCAAAGAAATTTACATTGTAGCCAGGAACACAGAAACCTGGGAATAATTTACTTTGTGTATATGGGTCTATCTTATTTGGTACATTGTAAAGTCTATCGTTAGTTTGCTTTTATTTCAATATTTTCCCACTCTTCGTGGGGTATATGAATATATCGTTTTTCTTAGGGTGGTTGCATGACACAGTGGTAATGCATTCACATTTCACGTAGGCATTCAGGGTTCAATTCCTGGAATGGATGTGAAAATATTTGTACATTGTAAAGTCTATCGTTAGTTTGCTTTTATTTCAATATTTCCCCACTCTTCTTGACTACCACCATATGTGCATGCTTGACAAGTTATTTTATTTTGTTCTAGACTAACGCGCAAATTGACATTGAAATAGCAACATTATTGGAGGCAGAGAAGGAGGTTAAACAGTCTAGGCGAAGTAAGTTTAGATTTTATCAAAAAAAATACCTATATCTGATCTCATTTTCAATCTCAAGTAACTTTGAAAATATATTTAGCCCCTATGGGTTGACTTCTATTGATTTCTGACGCATATCTTCTGAACTAAGTTGAGCACAAGGGCCACATTACCTAAAATGTCAGAAATAAGCTAAATGAAAATTTAGCTTTGTACTTAAAATTCAAAAGCCACAAATTACATGGAAATGCAATTGGTTCTTATGAACCACATACTCATTTTCTCCTTTTTCATATATTTGGAGGTTTTGTTGTTCATAAAAGTTTATTTTGTCATTCATTCATTTTTAGATCTTAGAAGAGAAGTACAAATTATTTGCCCAGTAAGTACATAATTATATTATCCCTCAACTCTCAAAATGAAATTAATTGTGAAATACCAGATACAAAATAAAAATTGAAGAATACAAAATTAAGTCTCTTTGAAGATATGATTTTCTAGTACAGAGAACAAGGAAGATATGTTTCTCTCCCAATAACGGTACCATAATAGAACTGAGGACACAAAGAAGCTAATTGATTTATTTTTCTGTTTTGATTTTTATCTTTTAATTTCATTTCTAGTCAAATGGCCCCACCAAGGAAGAAGAACTTGAATTGAAGGAGTTGAAAAAAATATCTGATCTAAAGATGTATGGTAAGGTTACTGTATTGGAAAACAAACAATATCATGATGAAGCACATTTGTTAGTGTTGAATTCAAATTCTGAATTGCAAGTGTTCTTTAAAGATTAATTTAAAAAAAAATAATGAAATTGTATTGAAATGAAATGATATGTTGAATGTTTTTTCTTTGAAATATGATCTCTTCATGTTTTGTTTATGATTTTTTTTCTCTCTTTTTATCCAGAATTAGAGGATTTTAAGCGGGATTTTGATACTAAGGTAACATCTAATAACTGACATTTATCCGTAGAATTTAATGTGCATGCGCAACAAAAAATGAGACTATTCATGAATATTCAGAAAAATAAATAATATACCTTGGAAATTTGTATTTCTAATATTGATGTATAGTTAATACATCATCTTATTATGATGACAGTATAATTCAGAACTTTTATTGAATATTAAGAAAAATAAACAATACATCCTGGAAATTTGTTGAGAGAATTTGTGTTCCTTATATTGATGTATAGTTAATACATTATCTTATTACGATCATATCACAATTCAGAATTTTCATTTTCAGCCATTCGTTGCTATCGAAATGACAGATTGGAGTCTTGCGAAGATTGAAGATGGTATCCGAAATAGACAACTTGGTAAGTTTTTGTCTTCGGTCTCTTATCCACTCTATAAATGAGTTGTGGGGTTAGCTCCCCTGGTGAATATTTACTATATCTAGCTTCACCCCATCAAATAATTCCCAATATCACTTCTCAGTTTAAATTTAGAGCCAAAAGCAAAAGTAGAAAAAGGTAGCACATGTTGCCCTATGCATTTCTTTTTGGTAAGTTTTCTCTTTTCATAAAATACTATTTTTTCTTTAAAGTCAGTACTGATGTCAACTGCCAATTTTAATCATGGATTCTTAATCCTTTCCAGCTCTCCAGACTGTTCAGAAGGAAATCTGTGAGGCAAGTATATTGTTTAAAAGTAGCACAAAGAGAAAATGTACACCTTGCTATCCTATCTGTATGATGAAAATTATTTTTTTATTTGGTTATCTAGGTACGTACTTACTACTAAATATTTATTGAACGCTGGTTCAATTTGTGCATTCATAAGTACATGCAAAGCCTTTTTATCACCCTTGTAATGTTTAAAGCTTTAATGGCTGAGTCTCCAACACAATTATCATGAAGTAAATTGTTTATATTGTGTGTTATTGTATTTGCAGGCTTCTGTATTCCAAGTTGCAGGAAATGATATGAAAGTCACAGGTACTGCTTTATTTGTATTAAAAGTCTTTGTATTGATAGATATTTTATATCCATCAGAATCAGTAAAATTTTCATAAATTTAAAAAATGTATAGAGCTCTCTTATTATTTTAAGACAAAACAATTATTGATATATGAAAATAAGTTTAGTTTGTTTACTTGTAGTGCCAGAGAAAACTGCTACACTGACAAAAGTGTTAAAGGCCTCAAAAATTGATCCATCTAAAAAGCTCCATAAGACAAATACTAAAAAATCAAAACATCGGATCAAGTTCGGCAAGGAAAAGTCCAGGCGTGTATCTAAGACTTCCATGGACAAACTTGTTTCCAAGATAATCTGTGACAAGTCGAAGGGAATATCAACCAGCAGCAATGAAAAAAACACAGAAGGATACGAGTGCTATACTAAAGAGAGAAAGAATATAGAAATGTTCAATATACGACTTCAAGAATTTCTTGACATTCATAAAAACACTCAAAAGTTTGTTAAAGTCTCTTCCAAGTCAAGGAAGAAACATCGATCAAACAAAATGGTAAAAATCAATAACAGGACCCAATCCAGTGTCAAACCCAATGTAAAAACAAACAACAATTATGTGAATATGGTTGAAATGGAACTGCCACACAAATCCCTTCATGACGGAAACCACAATGAAGTTAATGTGAAGAATAATATGACTGATGTTGCCGACAATGAATGTCAAAAGGAAACAAAGCTGCTGGAAGTGGAGGAAGAAAGTGAAAGGATCCCCAGCCGTCTGTCAATAGAGCAGGTTCAGGCTTACGTAGATTCCTGTGATCACGAACGAGCAGAAAGTAAGTCACATATGTTACAAGGCACAGATGTTATGTTCCGTTTACTTCACTGATCTCCCCATTCTTTTTTTCCATACTTTTATATATGTAAACCTAGATTTGCCTCAATGATAAGACCGTTCTCTTTAATCATCTTGTTGATCAGCTTTAGAAATTATTTCTCCTATTACATTTCACCATTAAGGGTTAAAAAGTTATGATATCATCTCCAAAATATCATTTGAAATGAAAACGACATTTAAATGAACAATTATTGATAATAGATATTTTCTTCCTTAGAGCCAAGACTGGAAAAACTGAAGAAGAAAACTAGAAACAGAATCTGGAAGTTACTAGAGTTTCCCTCTAGACAGAAAGGCACAGATTGCGAGTTAACCTTGGATTTTAGAATGCAGCTGCAGTGTGAAGAAAGAAATGATGCTGTTATTCTCAAAGAGCTGAGGCAACATCCACTTAGTCAAGACAAAAGCGAGGTTGATACCGCAATTGAGTCAATGTTGGAGATTCTGAGTCAAGACAGAAATGAAGCAGATGCTGCCAGGTTGATGATGGTGAGACCACAGAGTCAAGACGAAAATGACATTAATGGTGCAATTGAGGCAATGGTGGAGATTCTGAGTCAGAGCAGGAGTGATGAAAATTCTGCTACTGAGTCGATGATGCAGCCTCTGAATCAGGGTGGAAGTGATGTAGATGCTGCCCTAGAACCGATGATGCGGCCACAGATTCAGGAGGGAAACAACGTTGATGCTGATCTTGAATCAATAGTGCAAGTTCTGAGTCACAACGGAAGTGACAAACATTCTGTCACAGAACCGATGGTGCAATCACTAAGTCAGAATAGAAGTGACATACATACTGCTATCGAGTCAAGGATGGAGCTGCTGAGTCATTACGGAAGTGAAGATTCTGCGACAGAGTCAATGATGCAGCCACAGGACGGAAGTGACATATATGCTTTCTTGGAGCTGATGGTGCATCCAAAAAGTGGGGATGGAAATGATGTAAATGCTGCCCTTGAGCCGATGGTGCAGCTTCTGAATCAGAGTGGAAGTGAAGTAGATTCTGACAGAGAATCAATGGAGCAGTCACCGAGTGAAAATGAGAATGATGGAGAGGAATTAGTGGTCCCGCCATTACCCACACTTGATCCCATGCCTGTATATACTGACAGTAAGTTATTGAATATTCTGTCCAATGATGAGAAATAAAACTTACTGTAATTTGGGGGGAAAAAAAAGAAAAATCATGCATGAACTCGATTAGTATATTTCTTCAATCATAGTGATTTCTTGTTAGGGCTCGACAATATCATTTGAAAGAAATCAAAATAAATGACCACTTTTAAATGTAATTTCTTTGTTTTCAGATTTCCAATTCAGTTGTGTATTGACTCGACTATTTGCTGCAGGTATGTCAATTTTGACAAGATACCCACTTTGGATTAGTGTTAATGAACTTACTGTGTTCTTGAACAACGTTTTACTCCTTTTCATCTTTTTGTGTTTAGGTCGTATTTGAGTTTTGACTACAGCAAAACTAGGATAATTAATTGTACAGGAACAAACTAGCATATTTTACAGACTTCTCTCATTTAGAAATATGATAGCAAAAATCAAGTTTGGAAATTATTAAAGGGAGTAGAGGAGGAATGGGGTGTTTAATTTTCTAAGATAAATGAAAAATATTATTACTGACAAACCAATATCTTAATGAAAATAAGTTAAACTAATGTATTATTGGATACATGTCCTTTAAAGTGTGATTCGTATTTTAATGATTTTTAATTACAGGGATGACGTTGATGAGGACTTTGAACAAGATTATGTAATCTCTTTCACCACTATGTCAGTAAAAGAATAATTTATACTAAAGAGCTGAGGAAGATCCTATCAACCTGCCAGACAGAAGAAAGCATTGACACTTAATGGATTGCATTACTGCCTATCATTTCACTTCAACAGAAATTTCACTGCTCAAGATACCATTGAATGGTTACAGCAACCAGAATCTGAAGTTAATCTTTTAACTTGAAAATTTGTTTCATTCCCAAATGAAGAATATCATATTAAGGATGTATTGTCGCGACAATATCCGGTAAATTTCAAAATTCAAAATATTTTGTTGATATTTAGAATTGAAGCACATGTATTCATGATATTTTTATCGGTTTGCATCATCCTACGTTTGATATCAGTTTATTGTTATTTAGATGTTTAATGGGTATTCCATTAGCAGTCAGTAACTGACAGTTGATCTTTGTCAGTATCAATTTATCAGTATTAATCCATAGTATTTTTATGACATGTATATCTCTTTACAGAAATATAAATTAAAAATAGTGATTATTTTTATATTTTTTTAAGCATTATATATATATATTTCCAATATAAAAAAGTATTTGTGAGACATTAGCTAGCACATAGATTTTACAAGTACAATTTGCAAATATTTACATTTTACAACAGAGCTCTGTGCAATGTATACAAATTCATCAACTGCAACTTCTTTCACCCTTTGGTGTTGATAAACATTTTATTCATAATAATGTCAAGCTTTGTATAATTAACGCTGACTGACAATGATATAACAGTAATATAACAGAGTCAAGGTCAGCCGGACCTGGTCAGTCGTGTACCTGTTGAGCTCTGCAAAATTTATAGAATTTTGCCATTTTCCAACACGAGCAGCTAGCTAAGATTTAGCATGTGATACAAGGATATACTTACGCTTTACACCCTGTGTGATTTCACGGAAAAAGTTTTGTTGAAATGTGTGTTTTCATACAAAATGCTTAGAACAATGGACTGACCAAGGTGTGCGACAACTGTTAACCAGTGCCCAGTATTATACATATACGTGTACGTTTACCTATACAGGTAACTTCTATTGTGTTGGACCGTGTTTGGACTGTTTGCGCTGCTACTGTCTTTGAATGGACTTTATTTGTACGTAATTATGCCGGGATCGGGACGGAGAATAAGTACGGGAAGGTCTACTACATCTACTAGAAGTTCATCAAGCAAACCAATGGATACGTCTGCCGAATCATCAGCGAAAGACCGAATCGAAGCTTTGTTCGATATGGTGTCTGTCCTATTGACCAAGTCAGATATGGAACAGATTATGGATAAGAAATTAGAAAGACTTAGAGAAGACATCAGAGAGGAAAATAGAATTATTGTTGATCAGTGGGAGGGTCGAATTTTTTATTTGGAGAAGGAAAACGACGTTTTAAAAGAAAAAGTCAAGCAGCTTGAGATACACGTGATTGAGACGGAGAGAGTTAACTCAAGTCTTCATAATCAGATAAACGATTTGGAACAGCAAGGAAGAAAGAATTTTATCCGGATAGTGGGACTGGAAGACAACAACGAGAAAGAGACAGTGGAGGAATGTGTGCAGAAGGTTGTGTCGTTCGTCCGTGATAGTGTGAAGGTGAACTTACAGCCCGCTGATATTGATATTGCCCATAGGTTAGGACGGTTTATTAGGGGCAGACCACGGACGATCATATGTAAATTTACACATAGAAGGAAGAAGACAGAGATTCTGAGCAACAGAAGAAACCTCAAGGGAAAGAAGCTGATAGTGTTTGAGGACTTAACTCAGCGGAACCAGGACACACTGAAAGAGGCTTATAAACTTAAAAGTGTTAAGCATTCGTACAGCATGGACGGAAAGTTATTTGTTATTTTGAATAATGATCAAAAGCGCAGACTGTGGAACGATACTGAGCTTACGGACGAGTTCTTGGCAGATGATGACAACTTCAAAGTCGGGAAATATGACCGTTAGGTTATGATCGGTAAGTGACTTTTCTCTGGTTTACCGATCAGACTAGCACATTATATATACTAAGTGTTTGTGTGTTTAGCTATTTATTTTAAATGTGTCTGTGAGTTCTTTTCTATATGGAAGGTATGCAGTGGACAAGTTCGTGCTTATGCTCTGGTAAGTAACAATGATATCCTATCTATGGCAATATCTTCCAATATTTATGTAATTGTTCATTGTGATGAGCATTTATTTTTAGTTCTCTACAATATTGTGTAGAATCAAAAATGATCTTTAACGATTAGGTGTCCTGAGAGACCTTTACTGTTTGTATCCAGATATCCGGAATTATCTTTCCATATCTGGTTTTAAAAGTAGTATACTACTTCCGGTGTAAATGTATTCCGGCGCATGGTACACGTGCTGCAGCTATTCCTTATATCTAAGAAAAGGGGCGCTTGGTTACAGTTGGTATGATTGTTTGACCATATTAATATGTTTTTACATCTTTTTCTTATCAAAATTTATCTCTCTCCCTCTCTTTCTTTCTTTCTTCACTCAATGTCTGGGTTAGAACTTGCATTATGTTGGCTTAAATTGGTTATTACATTCGCACTTCTCAGCAGTATATAGTAAGGTAATGGACGGTATATCGTTACTTTCGGTAAATTGTCAGGGTCTCGGGGATAACAATAAAAGAAAAGATGTTTTTTCATACTTGAAATCAAAAAAATATTCAATCTACCGTCTGCAAGACACGCACTTCTCAGAAGAAAATCAAACTTTTGTTAGAAATCAGTGGGGTTTTGAATGTTTTTTTAGCTCTTTCAGGTCCAGTTCAAGAGGGGTAGCTATTTTATTTAATAACAATTTTGAATATAAGGTTAAGAGGGAAAAGAAGGACCAATCGGGAAATTTTTTAGCATTAGATTTGAGGTTTTTTAATGTAAAACCAATTTTCATGATGTAATACTTACCATAACTTTAGTATGCAAATACAGTACCTACACCCATCTTTGTATCCCAACAACAAAATATTCAAAAGAAAAACAATCCCGCCCTCCCTACGATCCATGAGCCATCACGGCAGGAACTTCCTCTAATAACCTTTATGGCGTAAATCCCACAGAGGCTTCGAATGAATAAGCTTCCTTGCCGACACACCAATCACAGAAGATCATCCAACGTGACTGGTAGACGGCAGAAGAGGAAGCCCTGATTGATTGCTCAATGCAATCTGACACCTCTTGAGAAAAGCCTGCCTTGGCGTGGCTTCCTGAGATAGCCTCAACGCGTGAAGGTGGAGGATCTCTGGTCAAGAGTGTGTCGTTCTGGGCCAAGGCTGGCGAAGGAGATTCGGTCTGATGGGGAGAGCCAAGGGCTCCTCCACCAGAAACGACAAGAGCTCCTGAAACCAAGCTTGCCTCGGCCACAGAGGGGCTCTCAGAAGTAAGGAGCAGTGATGCTCCCAGAACTTCTGTAGAACCCTGCCCACCAGGTTGAAGGGAGGGAATGCATATGCATACGTCCCTTCCTATTCCAGAGAAAGGGCGTCCACAGCCCACGCCTTACGGTCTGGGACCAGGGAGACGAAGGTTAGCAGCTGGTTGTTCAGGGAAGTGGCAAACAGGTCTATAATAGGTCTGTCCCACGCCTGACAATTCCCCTTGAAAATCAAGGGACACAGCTGCCATTCCGTCAACACCGGCTGGTGGCGCCTGGAGAGTGGCCACCAACACACTCAGCCTGCCAGAAAGATGCTTGACCGCTATGGTCAACTGCATGTCCTGGCAGAGAAGAAGGATGTGGATGGAGAGGGCACACAGGACATGAGACCTGGTGGCCCCTGTCTCTCCAGATACGCGACAACTGTTGTCGGTAGCCACACTTTGGACTGCAGGATACCCCTAAAGGACTGCAGAGCCAAATGAACAGTCTCATCTCGAGTACACTGATGTGCTCCGAGAGCTGTTCGCCAGACCACTCCCCCGAGCGGCATTGGCCATCGAGGTAAGCTCACATTCCTGTCATGAACGCGTCCATGAACAGGATCATAGAGGGGAAAGGCTTGGTCAGAGGTACCCCGTGGAAAACGTTCTCCTGAATGGTCCACCAGCAAGAGAACTCCCTGACCGACTGGGTAAGCGGGATCCAGGCCTCCTGGATGACGGAACCCAGTCAGACAGGAGGAACATATGGAGAGGTCCGATGTGAATCCTCCCTAGGGGGACCACATATGCCAAGGAGTTGAGATACCCCAGAAAACTGAGGAACCAATGTACCTGGACAAGCGACCAAGTGATGAAAGTCAGAGCCAGAGCCCTGACCTTCTCAAACTTCTCCAGAGGTGGAAGGGCTAAGCCCCGAACCATGTCAAAATGGTTCCCCAGGAAGAAGAAGTCCTAATATGAAGGAACCTCTGACTTCTCTCTGGAAGAAATGAAGCCGACTCTGAGCAAGAGTTTCAGGACCAGACGAGTGTCCTTCACTAACGATTCCCACACCAAATGAGGCATGAGGGAGTCGTCGAAATAGATGTGGACGTCTATTCTGCGTGAGTGAAGGAAACACCAGCAGCAACTTGGTGAACACCAAAGGAGCTGTCGTGAGCCCCAAGGGCATCTCTGCCTTGGCAGCATGGTCCCTACTTCCTCCTGGAGCACCCGTGCCCTTTCTGAATCCCCGGGAGGAGGGAAGAAACAAAAACGGCCAGGAGGCGAGGGACGAATCCTGAAGAAGGGGAATACCTAGACCCTCCCTGACCACCGACAAAAGCCCAAGCGTCATCTGTAATATCCTGCCACTGGGAAAGGAAAGCAGAGAGACGTCCGCCCACAGGGAGTTCCGGATGGGGCAGATCGAGCCCCTGCCAGAACAGAGAATCGTCTGCCCACCCGGAGCCTGAGCCTGCGGGAGAAGGACATGAGCCCGGGAAAGGAGAACCACCGTCCACCCGGCCATACCCTTCGCCTTTCGCGGCCAAGAAGCAGAAATAGTCAGGAACCCTTCTTCTTGCCCCCAGGAGGTTTCTTACCCTTCCTACCCTTCCCCTTG